TTGCTTGCTTGCTTGCTCGCCGTTTGGAGAACGAGGGGTGTGTGTGTGTGTGTGTGTCTCTCTCTCTCTCTCTGTGTCTGTCTCTGTCTCTGTCTCTGTCTGTGTCTGTGTCTGTGTCAGTGTCAGGGTCAGTGTCAGAGTCAGTGTCAGTGTCAGTGTCAGAGTCAGGGTCAGTGTCAGTGTCTGTGTCTGTCTGTGTGTCTGTCTGTGTGTCTGTCTGTGTCTCTGTCTGTGCCTCTGTCTGTGCGTCTGTCTGTGCGTCTGTCTGTCTGTCTGTCTGCCTGCCTGCCTGCCTGGCTGGTTGGCTGTCCGTCTGTCTGTCCGTCGGTCTGCCTTTCTGCCTGTCTGCCTGTCTGCCTATCTGTGGGCGGGTGGGTGGGTGGGTGGGTGGGTGGGTGGGTGGGTGGGTGGGGCGAGGCCATAGCACGGACCCTGGCCCCAGACATGTCGTACAAGAACGCCGTCTGCGTGCTGTCCTTGCCGAGCTCGATGCACTCCTCACGTGGGATCGTCTCATTCCGGCACGAATACTCCTCGGCCGAAAAAGTCTCCTAAACAGCACCCTTCCAAGAAACATATACATTACATTGCAGAACACGCTAAGACCCCGGCACATGCATTAAAATTGGCACTCTGGTTCTGCTCGTACTCCTTGCACCAGGCATAAGCCGCGAAGTAGTCCTCGCGGCTCTACCAGGTCCGCAACATGCAGCGAGGCTCCACAGATCAGATTTGCTCACATGTTGGAATACTACTTGGACTTCTTCACCGCTCTGAAAGAGAATTGACCCGAGGCAATAAACTCAAGACATCTCAAGACTGAAGTCGATGGGACTTCATGTCGGCGAGACCTTTTTGTGAACGTCTTCGATCCTCGACTTCCGTCTGCTTGGAGACATCTCCTTGCAGAAGCCTGAGAAGTCAAGGGACCAGGGCATTGCATAGCGACGTATTGCGACTTCTGCGACCAGGCCACACAGCAGGAGGGAAGCGCACCTTGTCGGCAGCCTGACAGGACATGGAAGTCGCAGCTTCCTGCTGACACACGTCCTGGGAATGCAGTGAGCTGGCTGCGCAGACCTCAGTCCACGCCGGAAATAATCCCAAGCTCGAGGCAAAGTATGGTGCCTTGTACGCTGCAAGGCAGGTATCATGCTCTTGCGCCGCTGCTTTGATTTTCGTCACGCCTTGGATTACCGGCAAACCCAGTGGACATCGAGTCGACTCAGGCTCCGCGAGTTGGCCATGATTTGCCGTGCTGCTGTTCTTGTGAGCCGTCAACAACCGGTTCCTCATCGTGACGTTGACGATCTCGAGGATGGTCGAAACTACAGCGGTATTGTTGCTGCCCTGGCAGTGCAGGTGAGAGACAGTGCGAGTTTACTTCATGGGTCTTGCCTTTCCACCACTTGACCTAACCTTGAACAGGATGCAGACACGCCTCTGCGCCCCCACCATGCTTTAGCAAGTTGGTGAGTGCTCCTTGCGGGCACCCCGATCACGACTCTGCATGTCTACTTCTCAGCTGTCAAGTCTCCTTCGACACTTCCGATCTGGCTTGGGGAGGATCCGCCAGCTGCAGCCTTAGTCACCAAGATGAAAAGGCTGTCAAACCCTGTGAGAATTCGATCTTTTTTTTTCTCCAAAGGAAGCTTTCAAGCACTTGCATCCGTGGAGCCTGAACAGCTGCTGGCATGTGATCCACCCCGGCAAGGCTTTCGATGTTGATCTTGGTTGCATCCCGCAGGTTGTTGTCTGTCTGTTCATCGACGTGGGACTTCAGCCATGCGCATCAGGAAGCATACGAGGGCATTTCAACAGTAGGGCAATGTAAGCCCACTTTCGACGAGTGACGCCATGTGGAGACAGCGACTTTCCGGCAGTGATGGGCAAGGCAAGCAGGGCAATGATGCCTCGGGCGGACGAGTGACCAGTGGCTCTCTCAACTGGGGAAGAAGACATGAAGTTCATCAACAGGCTTGCTCCTAGACCTAACCAGATGTGCTTTTTCAATCTATGGTGGGTCACCTCAGAAAGCTCCCAGCACCGAGGACTGAAAGCTTCAGAAGACCGTATGGCTCGTCACCTCACACGAGGAGATAACAAGTGCAGCCGAGCCTCCCCGACACAATGCTGACCTTAAGACGGCTGCACACGGTTCACGTCAATTCATCATTCTCGATTCCAGTCTGCCCATGTGTCGGATGACAAGCTTAGACGGCCAACAGGACGGACTTCGCACACACCTCAGAACCGAGAAGCTTCATTATAAGGCGCTGATGTCTGACCTGCGCGCAGTCGGGAAGCTTAGTGGAAGCAGGGCAGCGAAGCAGCATATTCTTACATCACATTCGAAGCTCAATGTGGAATGCAACACTCAGAAATTCAAACAGTCAGCAGCACAGGAGTCGAGGCACAGAGCTGTAAGTTGCGAGAAGGGCCGCGCCTCCCCGTGTCCGCACGAGTACGGGGCGAGGCAGAACTTGGGCCCAGAAACGATTGCAGCGCGAAGTTTGGCCCTGCAGGCAAAACCGCTTCGTTTATATCGTGATTGGCTGCCAAAAGGAAGCAATTTTTGAAGCTTGCCATGAGCAGAAGCCTCGTACAGCGAGTCCTGTTTCTCAAGCCCGAACAGCACTACAAGCTCACCAATGCACGGATTTAGGCAAAGACTTGGGGAGTAAAGCAGGGCCGCACCAGCCAATTGAATCTGACCAGAGGTTCGGTATCCTGCGCCAAGCCCACAGACACGAATCAAGCGATCTGGCAAGTATATGAGGCGAGACGCCGTCAAGTGTACGACATGGTCAGGCCCGACCTGCGCATGCCTAAACCCGTTTTGACCTTCTTGGTATTGCAAGTTTTTTGTGCATCGCCTCAGCACTCACCAAGCCAACCTCTTAGGTTCGACTCTCACACCCCTCTCCTTCATACCTGAACATTTGTGGACCACTGCCACGTTTCCATGTAAGGACTGAAGCACCTTCTGAAACTGTGCAAGAACCTCTGCTCATACTGTCCTGACTTCAGGACTTGGTGGGATTTGATTAGTAATTGGATGATCCTACGATGCTGATGCTGTAGTTGTACCAGGATCCACAGAAGTATGGACCCCGCTGGCGGCCTGTTTCTTGCGAGCTTCGCTGCCAGCCTTTGCCAGGTCGCTTTGGCAAAAAAGATCTTCGTCTTCTTGCGGTCTGAAAATGAGGTTGAGGTTGGGATAAAGTTGCAGTTACACGAGTGAGATGATCCCGGCTCACAGTGGCACACATCCCGCTTCAGAGTTGTGCCGGAGATCGTCGTCGCATGTTCAACCCTGGAGTACCAGACTAAAGTTGGTGCCAGCAGACCTTCAAACATCTTGGAACACAACTTCTCGATCCAGAGTGCATGGCGAAAGCAACACTTCGATGAGCCACACAAGATCTAGGCCCAATGTCATTTGACCATCGAATCGCCCGCAGAAGAGAGATGCAAAACCCTTTGACCATGTGTTTAACTACATTAATTGTACATGAACCTGATTCTGTCCCGGTCGTCGCAGAACGCTGACTGAGACCTTAATCTATTGCACCCTCTCTGAAACAAGCTGAGCATAACCTACGCGAGTGTCGGTATCGCTGCCTCCTGCTGCTCCTCCTCTGGCTCTGATGCAAAAGGCACCTCAGGCACGGCGCATGCCGGGGCTGGGCAGCCCTCATCGTTTGGCAGCTCACGGTTCTGTGCATGCCAGGAACGTGCGAGCATGATTTTCGTGTGAGGTGAGAACTGCGCATAAGAAAGCCGCAGCATGCATCGTCTACTCGGAACCGCAGCGTCTGCTGCTCCGATCCAGCTATTCCGACACGCTCTCAGCTCGAGTGCATATGTTACTGGCACTGCTTTACTAGATGTGTGTATTTGGGCGGACGTTATCAAGCTCTGCAGATCTCTAGCACTGCAGCTCCTACCACAGAGCTGAGAGCGCCTTGGCAATGTTCAATGGTCCAAAGGTCAACGAAACGGTGCAGTCTGCTGCAATGAGGCTCTGCTATATACCTGGACTGATGGCGCATGGCGCCTTACATGTAACTGCACCTCTCCAGGGGCGCTGGAGCCCTGCACAGGCGAGTGTGTGTGTGTGTGTCTTTTTTTCTGCTTGTTTGTGTTTTTGTTTGTGTTTGTGTGTGTGTGACCTTCACCGATCGTCTGCAGTGCCATTTGGCAAAACTGCATACTATCTGAAAATGTCGGACCTTTCCGCACTCCTCTCTCTGCGGCGCAGAGCACTGCCATGAAGGTGCCTTGGAAAGAAGCCGATCCGACCATCAGAAGCCTACAGGGTAGCTTCTCACCATTGCTCCTCTGGAGCGCAAGTGGACTAGAACTGGCTAGCAATCGATCTGCAAGAGCTAGGCCTGCAGGACCGCGCTTCCTGCTACACAAGCCTCTTGCAGCGGAAAATCCCAAATGCGTGCCATCCAAATTTCTGGAAGACTGCACGAAATCCGAAAGCGGGCAAGAACGGCCATCCTGTCCTACGAAGGCCCACGCCAGAGAGTGTAGGACTAGTAGCATGAGCTAGCTGCTGCTCTTGCACGCATCCCCACTGGCCCCTAGCTACATTCTTCTCAGCGGAAGTCCCAGTGCTACAGCCGCAAGTCGGGACTGGGCGTCGTCCTTGTCACCTGAAAGAGCAAGCATCCGCGCTCTCCAGAGAGACCGTACACCCATCGCTCGGCGCGTCCGTAAAAGTCGAGGCACGGCCACTTCCACCACGTCCATTCGCTCCTCGAGGCCTCGTCGCGCACACACGGCGACGGATCCTCGCGGACTCTTTTTCTCGCTCTTGAGCTCTCGACGTTGCAGCGACGTCGAGAGCCGCCGCTGGCTGGCATAAATGTCATCGAGTCGTGCCAGCAGCAGCGCCATGTTGGATGTGCCTGTGGAGAAAGTCTTCCAAAGCTTACGACTACCACCCGGCCCACCCCCGCCCCGATGCTCCCCATGCTCCTGCACTGTAATCCGAGCAGATGCTCGAGTCAGACAGGGTCGACTTCTTATCGTTCTTCTCTTCCACCTGGGTCACTTCAAGCGTTTCACGTACTTCGGGTGAGCCGCTAAGCCCTGGACTGGCATAAGCTTCACCGTCACCTCGCCACAACGGACGGTGCTCCCAGATAGAGTTTGACTCGTTTGACAATGACCGTTGCCTTGACTTCAAGGTACGCCTCGATGCCTTGACGAGGCAAGGCAATCTCATGCAATCGCAGTCCAATCTCTACTCTACTGCTAACTCGTCCGGGCGTGGCCTTTGCCGCCCCCGAAGAGACGAAGCTCGCCTTCGAAGCCCTGGCATCTACAGGCCATGCATGCCCATTCCCCAGACGGGTTTAGGGTCGAACGTATGCTGTTCTCTTTCCGATGCAGAGCCTGCGGACAGAAGGACTGGCTCTCGAGCACCGTGGAGCCAAGGTAGTCATCTTCCTGGCCCGAATGCATACACATACATACGCATAGGGTGCGCATACGTACTTCATTCGTACGTTGACTGATTCATTGATTGGTTGAGTGCCCGTGGGTGTGAATATTGTTGCGTTTGCAACTGAAAGCTACATTCGTACATCACGTACAGAGCTTGAATGCACTCATCCGGACTGGGGCCTTGATGATCCGCCAGTCTTGGTCGAAGAGCTGGAACCGCAGATGCTCTCCGAACTGGTAGTCCGCCATCACGAAGGCCTAGCGGGCCGACAAAAACTTCACTCATGCCGGGACTTCGCTTTACCTGTGCTGAAGCGATCGAAATCTCTGCTTCAGAAGACTTCAGCTTGTCATTTTCCTCTGCATGACCGAGCAGCCTCGTCCCACACCGGGTTCGTGGTGTCCTGCATTGCATCGTTGACGTTCCAAGAGCGGGGCCGAAGATGGTGGAAGGGTAACCGGGTAGCCCAGCAGAGCAGACACAGGAAAGAAACCTGTTTGCTGAGTCTGTGGCGTGAATGACCCGGGTGACCACCCCGGTGCCAGGCTTTCCAAGCACCACACCTGCCGAAGACTCTCAGCTGTAACTCGGCCGTCCCCGATCATTGCAAACAGCTCGGGAAAATTCTCGAGATCCGCCATCCATCATACAACCGTTCACCTTTTGCTACCCATCGTTACATCAGTACTCACCCCTGCTGCGGTCACCACTGTCTTGGGGTCCCCGCATTTGCAGTACACATCGGACTTGCCTGCTCGCGATCCATTGCAGGCACGGGTAGGCGCATTTTTTGCAACAAGGTCCGCAGGAAGCTGCAGAACTGAAAAAGCAAGGCAACGACGCCGATGCTGGGTGCTGGGCCTGTGAGCGGAACCAGGTCCGCATTTCGCAGGCCACGTGCCTTGATGATGCGCACCTGCCACACAGGGAAGCCACTGCTCCAAGCGTGAAATACTTCAATTCATTACTTGGAACCCCTTTCCAGTCGCTCCTCGATGGACTCGATGAGCGGCTGCGGTGGGCCACGTGGGACTGGTAAGGAAAAGCGTAGGTGGTACAACTGCCGCCTGTTGAAAGGCCTACAATAATGCCGCTGAGTATGTCCTTGCCTTTTGTGGGGTCCAGGAGGCACTCCAGCTTGTCGGAGACCGACTTGACGCACCTCACTTGCCCAATGTTTGCAGACAACTCTTGCGAGCATGATGTTCGATTAAATCCAAGAAGCTTTCGCAAGTCCACGATATCTGTGACTTGGGCATTATTGCCGCCCTGGCATTCACGGCTCGATGCAGGTAGACTGCTCTTTTCCGAGTCACCACTGAACTTTGAGGTTGCAATAGATTGCGGCCTCACCTACAACCCACAGGCCTTGAGGCGCAAGACTACTCCAATGAGTTCATTGAACTCGACGCTGGTGCCTGCAGCCACAAGTGAGAATGAGATGCGAAATGTGCGAGAGCTTGCCCACGGTTCCTACGCGCACTGCTTCGTACCTCAGGCCTCAAGCATGGTCCCCATACCACATGCTTGATATCACACTGTTCCTGCTTGACAAGTTGAGGGTTGTTGATGAAACGGTGTTTTACCACTAGCTCATTGATTTTCATGTTATGATGCATGGGGATGGCCCAAAGCCTGATGGGCGGGAGTCGTACTGTTCAAAACCGGCTGGCTTCCCAAACTGCGATACTGATCTTCGAGTGGTTTGATCCCGTCTTCCTCTTCGCACTTATCTCCGTGATTACTTGATGCCAGGGGTTTTCATGGCAAGCGATCATCTTTCATTTCTGCTGGGACAATCACCAAGACTTGGACCAATAAGGGAGGATCTAAATCTTCAGGTTTCCAGCTTTTTCATACCATGGTCGGAGTTGCACACGAGTATGGGCGAAGTCCCCCTTTGAAGCGCGACAGATGCTGCGTGCAGTCGCACAATGAGGCACGTCAGATGTGATCATCGCTCCACGTAACGATGTCCACTCTGTTTCTTGATGACAAACTCCTTCTCCATTCGCTTGCTCCTTTCTGTCCAGCTGTCCTCATTCCCCCTTACTTGTTTTTGTCGCAGTATCTGCACCTCAACCATTTTTTAGGCATGAAACGTCTGGTCAATCGGATGCTCTGTGCTTTCGCAAAATGTGTAGGATCTCCGGATGGGAGTCGGACAGCATCATCTGTGGAGTTTGGCCAGCGTCTACATCCGGAGATCCTCCATGTTCAATAACTGTGCACGGTATGCCTTTGGGGAGATTTCTGATCGCATTCAAGGTCATCGTGTCGTTGATATCTTCCTGACAATTGATCTCGAGTTCCAGGCTCTGCAAGAAAAGAAATCATCATTGTCAGAGCTCTTGTGAAGCTGCACAAAACAAAAAGGGTTTGTTTGTTGCTGCTGGCCTTCGAAAAATCAGATTCATGCGCTTCAGGTGAAAAGATCGATAGCTTGGAACGCTTCCATGGCCCACCCCGCCACCGAGCTGGTAGCCTGCAGACACGAACGGGGGAGCATCACTGGGAGCATCCACACGCGACTCGAAAGAATAAAGTGGCACGCGGATCCGAAAGTAGATTCCTTGCTGCAACCATTGGCTTTGATCACACACGTTGCCTGCACGCTCGTTGTAGACGGCCTTGGTGCACAGACGGCAAGCGCCCAGACACATGCGACAGTAAGTCTAAAGCAGTCTGACTAAAAACTGAATCATGCAGGGCACTGCCATGATGTCCTGCAGATCTTGGATATCCGTACCTCAGCACTGCACAATGCAAGAGGTGCGGGGGGGAGACGAGTGCACAATACCTAAGCCACTCACCAAACTTTGACAGGATCTCACGGAACTCCAGATTCTGCAAGAGCAGTGCAAACTCCTTCTCGCCGATGGACTTGTCCTGATTCACATCCTCGGTGCCGACGTGCTCAGCGAACTGAGAAGAGTTTCCCGGACAGTTCACATGCACAGATCAAGGCCGCAGCATAGCACTCGAAAATGTCCTGAAGATGTCTTTTCAGGTACCGGATCTGTGCCTGCGCCAACTGTTCTTCCTATCGCATCATGGCTGGGAGCTTGGCCAGTTAACAGCAGGCAAGATCTAGCATCCAGCTGTGCTCCCGGAGAATAAACTGGTGACTGCTGCAAATCGTCCTACGACAGCGCTGTCTGATGCTCGACGAGCGCACATGCCGAGGACCATGACGACAACTCTTACGTTCGATGCGACTGAGCTTTCGCGCAGAGCATCAGTGGAGCCTCTTCCTTCTCAGCTTCGGAGACCTTGTTGATCACCTCGTCACTCTCATGATGTGTTGCGGGTTCATCTGGCTGAGTTGGCTGAGTAAGCTTGGATGCGGACCTCACACAAGATTCCTATAAGCATGTTGAGCACCTCGGTGAGCAGGTTTGGGAAAAAGTCGCCCATTGTGAGACATTCAAGCGAGGAGCGAATCTGTTCGTTCGGCTTTCAATACGCCAACAGGTTTGGCCAGTGCCAGAGCACTCTAGGACCTGACTGCAGGCCTAGCCACTGTGAAGGCGCTCAGGATAATGCAACCGAGGAAAAGGTAGGCCTGGGCACGTTCGACAACCAGGGTGGCCGTAGGCCGAACTTGGGAAGTCGGTTGGCAGCACATGCCTAATGTCTTGGCAGGTTAAGAGCGGCTAGAGCAATCAGCTGGCAAAGACTCAGCAGCGGACCATTACGCTGCCGAGAGCTCCACCGAGAGCTGCAATCTCCTCAGATTGCGTGGAGCTGAGAAGAAAAGCCTTGCTGTGCTGCCTACCGAAGTAAGCGACTCTGGCAAGGAATCCATCGACACCAGCCAAGAGGCGTCGAACACCTCAGCGTCCAGTGCGCTATGCACTTCGACTCTCAGTGGATCTGCGCTTTCTCGGACACGGTGCTGCATGTTTACTGGGCAAGTCCGAACACAGATGGACATACGTGGCACGTAAAAAACGATTGGTCATCCAGTCATCACATGTGAAACCACTCGCCAAAAAAACAGCTGGATCGAAATGCAGAACAAAGGAACAACGGCTGGACCGTCTACGAGGGTGGCGTGCATGAAGAGTGACCTGACATGGTGCATTCGGTTGCAAGAACATGAACCCCTCTTGTCCTGAGCAAGCTGAAAGGAGCGCCGCTCCCGTCTGAATTTGAATATGTCGCTACCAATGTTGCCAACAGCCTCTGCAAGCAAGCTCAACAACTTGGTAAAGCCAGGCCTCATCGATTGCTCGACGCTGCTGAAATACTTGGTCTCCAGATACTTCGCGGCGTCGGAATCGGTCGACTGGCCCACAGTTCAAAGGTAGAAGGGATGCAGACAGCAAACAACGACAAACGCTTGTTTTTGAATATAAATGTATTATATGCATGTACGTATGTATGCACACATGTGTTTACGTGCGTAATTGTTGGATGCAACCGCCTTCGGGTAGGTCGGGACCTCCTGGTTGGTTTTGCACCCATTTACCTGCTGCTACGTATAATGGACCTGAGAAGGACCCGATTGCATTTTAAACCTAGTAGCCTACTACTACGTGTGACTGGTAAACGGCAACTCCCGCAAGTTGCACAAAGCTAGCTTTCGTGATAGAGCTACATTCAAAAAATTTTCCTACTTCTGCCATGGCTCTGCGCAACCTAAGTTTTTACCCTTAAAGCTGAGTCCGGAAAATCCATGAAAGCCACGTTCCCGTTCAAACATGAAGTTGATGAAACATCCTTGGGAATGTGCTAAGCCTGGTTTTGGAGTTGCTGCTAAAACCCGGACCATGCCAGTATTGCAATCACAGTGTACATACAAGGCCCGTTGGAAAACCTCAAAATCCCAAGCCCGAAACCACAAACCTGGTTGCAACAATCGTCCTACATCCACCATGGCTCTGCAAAATCTTGGGTTTTCACGCATGCGAACATACAGGTACAAATACACATGTATACTATATATATATATACATGTACATGTACATATACATGTACATGTACATTTACATGTCCATGTACATGTATATACATGTATATGTATATGTACATAAA